TTTTTTTAATATTTATTTTTTTTTTTAGTTCTCGGCGGACACAACATCTTTGTTGGTATGTGGTGCTGAGGATCGAACCCGGGCCGCACGCATGCCAGGCAGGCGCGCTACCGCTTGAGCCACATCCCCAGCCCCATTCACTCTAGGGTTTCTGCAAAAATCCTCTGGAAGGATCACATCTCCCACAACTGCCTCCATAAGAATTTTTTTTATTATTATTTAGAAATGCAGTTATATACATAGAACAATTAAAATTAAATTAAACTTTGTACAAATATTAAAATACTATCTTCACACCCACTGCAATGTACAGGATACCAAAAAATATATATATATAAAACAAAATAAAGCAAACCCAAACTGATTGAGTGACATCCTGCACAGAGTCGATTATGCATGTGTTGTTTTAAACCATTACAAGAGTACCATTCTGCAAAGGATCCCAGAGTGGCGCAACAATCTTAAGAAGCCAGGGCAGGTGTGGGCACTGCCATACAACCCACAACCATCTCGCCTCCCTGCTTGGCAATCCAAGTGCTTTGCCCTGCAGCCCCTCTGGCTAACTCTGCTGCTTGGCAGAGGGCTCAACACTGGGGTTTTTGTTCAAAATTCTACTAGGGTTCCAAATGGAAGTTAAAGAGTCACTCTCCAGCAAAGCTGGGCCTGCCACCTTTCCCTCTAGCAAACCAGCTACCATACCACTCAGTCCAAACATCTGTTGAGAAAAACATTCTGCAAGCCCTGCAGGAGGCCTAGCAGGCCCCACAGGCTCACAAGAAGGTCTTAGCCTTGCTGTCCTTGGCATGTGAACCTGGAATTCAGCTGTGAAGCCTGTATGTCACTTCCCTTCCAGCCCCTTTTTGCTCTTTCAGAAGGGAAGAGAAAAAAAAAATCTAGAAATATTTGCAGCATATTCCATTCTCTATGAAAAGATGTTCCCCAGAAATGGAAGCAACATTGTTATGTAGGAAGCAAGTGGTTTGAGCACTCGGTGGGCATTGGGAGGAAAAGGGCAAGTGCCACCTATCCCCACGCCACCACTCATGAAGCAGGAATCATATACCTTTGTCTTTCTTGCCATCTGGTTTCTCCACAGAACTTTAAAGCTGGGGCTGGGAGGAGAAGGGCAAGTTGTATGGGGAAGACAATCTTCTGTTTGCAAACGGAGTGCTTGTAGAATGTATATTGAAATGCGTTATAAAACCAAACTCACAGAGTGGCCAGGACTTGGCCCATTTCACAGTTCACATCCAGTGAAACAGGAACATAGCACACGAAATACAGAAATGGCAAAAGACAGAGCCTACCTRCTAAACTAAGGCATGGAAGGGACGGAAATTTTAAATGATTTTCACCATGTTCTGGCTCTTGAAAGTTGCTAAAATGTGACTGCAAGTCACCAGGATATAAAACCTGCACTGAGTCAGCTCAAGTGTGCAAACAAAACAAAAATAAGTCCTTTGGTGYTGACCATTTCTCCTGCACAAGTCTGCAGGACTCCCCTAGAGATGAGCTTGGGAAAGCAGGGCTGTGGCTGTTTCTTTCTTCCCATCTGCTCCAGGCTCTCAGCAGCCTCTTTCCTATCAGCCTGCCACGTGACACTGGCCCTGTTTCTAGCCAGGCCCCACCTCAAGGCAGCTGTGGAGTCCCCAACCCCCTTAACAAGGGACAAAGCCCAGAAGCCCCAGGAACAGTAGCACATGGCTGATGGTTAAGATTTGCTTTGGGGGAAAGAGAAATAACTGTAGGAAGAAACTGATCCAGACATCAGCAGCAAGACAGGCTGAGCCGCAATGCCTGCACAAGCCCAGGAGCCTCAGAAGAGAGCCTCCTCAGACCCGAGGAGGGGGTGGGCCCACTTGTTCAGGCTTCTTACTTTCCTACCAGGCAGACAAGCCTGGGCTTGTGATCCCCAGAGCGGTGTCAAAGCATGGCGAGAGGGAAGGCGGCATTAGGAGAAGGAAGGCTGTTCATTTTACTAAGGGCCATACCAGTCACCTAGGTGGCTGAATAAACCCCAAACAAAAAGTGCAATCTCTCAAGGGGCAAAAACCTAGAGTAACCAGATAGAAAAGGGTAGGATCTTCTATTTAAAAAATATTCTAGAATAGAATCCAGGTTTTGGAAGAGTGGAAAATAAAAGCTAAAGGCTCCACAGTGAGACTTCAGCCCCCTCCTACTCACTTCCCCCTGCTCTGTCCTGGAAGAAGACAAGGACGGCACTGTGGACACAAGGGAGCCGGGGTCTGTAATGCAGCTGAGGGCCTCAGGACCCCTGGGAAAGGGGGGCATGCCAGCAACTCCTGGGAGGTGTGTCTCATCTCCCTCAGGCTTCAGCCTTCTAGTTCTAGCACCTTCTCCACCTCATTCCCAGCTAACCACACTTGCCTGGACTCTAGGCAGCAGCTGGTGCTCCTGGGTAGGGGACATGTGGGAGTGGCCAGCAGGCACTGCCCTAACCCTGAGAGGAAGGAAGACGAGGGGTGGCAGGAGGCCGGGAGTGACCACGACCAGGGAGTAAAGTGCGTTGTGAAAGTGGAGGCAGAGGGGTGGTGGGCTGGGAGGCAGCTGTGCCTCTGTTCAAGGACACCCACACCTGGAGCTAACCCTGTTAAGTCAGGTACTGAAAATGCACTGGACCTTTTAATATTTTCACTACCCCGGAGGTCAGGGGAGGAGCAGAGGTACAGCACAGGGTCAGCTTGAAAGTTTCCCAGGCCCAGTGCTTCAGAGGGAAAAAAAAAAAAAAAAAAAAAGCAAAAGCAAACATTCCTTAATGCCACATCTATCTTCTGAAGATGGTAGCAGCCAGTTGGAGCTCATCCACCCAGCCTTATTAGCATTCAATATGGGGGGAAGGGGGACCCTGGAAGCAGTGGCTGGAACATCCTCCTACCACCCCATTTTCAAGGGCCCACACCCAGGCTTCAGTCTAAAGGGGCCTTGGGAGCCAAGCAACTGGGCACTTGCTGGCCTACCTTAGCCAGTTAGGCCAGGGGTGTTGTGAACCATTTCTCAACCCTTCCCTAGGATATAGAGAAGACAAGGTGTGGCTTGTCAGACAGGATTTGTRTAGGGGTGCAGGGAAGGGCAGAAGTAGGAAAAGCAGTGGTGCAGCAGGGAACAGGCCACTTCCTGGGCACAGTTACTAAGGCACGTGACCGTGGTGAGGAGGATCCTCAGGATTGGGCTGGAGCTGCCTGCAGCCACCGGGGACTTGTTCTGTGCCTTCTGGCCTCCCCTCCATCACCACAAACTCATAAARGGGCAACTTGCCCAGACTGCCAGTGACCAGATGAGCATTTGATGGCATCTCAGCAACTCTCCTGCCCTAGACATGATGTGCCTCAGGCCCCTGTGGGCATCCAGGAAGCCAGAGCTGCCTGAGATAAAGCCCAGGAGGCAGCATGCAACTTCCCCTTATCCAGGGAGGCAGAAAAGCGGTGGCCCAAGCAGTTGATCTGGAAGCAGAAAGTGAGAACTTGCATATTAGGAAGAAGATCATTATCAGTCACCTTCCTTCTCTCCCTCAAGATCTTCTGGATGTTTCTGGAAACTCTCAACTTGACAGAGTGAGGAGGCTGCACCTGAGCTGGACAACTGGGTGCCGGGACAGCTTTGGCATAATTTTCCAAATCCTCCATTTTCAGTCAAGGAAATGTGCCACCAGTGTCAGCTCAAGGCAAGCCCAGGGACCCACACTCCTGCCCCAGCGAGAGACACTCCTGCCTTGAGAGCTCACTCTTGGATCTGCTCCTGCAAGGGRCACCAATGCCAGCCTCAGGCCCATGCCCTGTGTACAAGGGCAGCAGCCATTAAGGCCTGTAGACAGCAACATGCCTGCATGACAGGAAACTGAAGGGGTGAGGGAAGGCACAAGTAAACATGGTGGCACTCAGGCCCACAAGGACTGTGGGGGCTGCCACCAGAGAGCTGGCTGGAAGGGACCCAAAAGCTTAGGAAAAGGGAGAGTTCGATCCAGCACATTCAAATATGTCCCTGACAGATGGGAAGGCTGAGCCGGGCAAAAAGCCAGCTCCTCCAGCTGTCCAGGCAGATGGCGAGAATCTTCCTTGAGTTTCCAGCAAGGTGGCCTGCAGGCCTTCAGAGACACACAGATACACAGGTGGCAGCTCAGGTGTCCAGGTGGGGTGGCTGGAGAGTACAGGGTGCTCAGACCCAGTGGGAGAGGGAAGAAGGGCAGAGAGGACCCTTGCAGAAAAGGAGAAAGGCTGCTGTCAGGCCTCATGCTTCTTTTAACAGTGGGATATCTGCAGGAAGACAAGGAGGGGAAGGACAGTGGTTATCCCAAGGGGGTTTCTCCACAGCACTCGTGACCCCATCTCCATGCTCCCATATAGCCCCTGGTTTAAAGACATGTCCTACTCAGACACTTCAAGGTAGTCAAAAATCCCCGGCCTCTTTTATAAGCCTTTCTGGCTCATCCCTCCTACTGCCTAATAAACTGAACATTCAGCCTGGTATTCAAATCCCTTCTGGGCCCAATAATTTGAACCTACTCTCTGCCTTTGCTCTGCTGCTCTAGTCATTTCCATTTCTCTCCTAAACCCTCCCTCCACAAAGTTCTGCTTAATTCTCATCTCCTCCTAAAGCCACCTGCCAGCTGTGTGACCTTGGACAGTCACCCCTCTCTGGGTTTTGGTCTTCTCATATATCAGTGGGAGGCAGTGTCAGGCCAGTGCCTGAGGCTCGACATCCTCTGACACCATCAGTCCTAGACAGCTCAGGCCTGGCCTGCCACAAACTCACTAACCTTCATGTTGTGTTTACTGATCCCCTCATTTCGATGAGAACCCTAAAATTCCTAGTTCCATTATTTTCCTAGTACAGGTCCCCACCATATTTTCCAGCTGACTAACACTCCATTAACAGAGTGTGTTTTGTATTTCTTTGTGTTGCTTCAGAAATCTCATCCAGTACCAAGAGTAAGATGGGCTCTCAAAAATGCTTCTTCAATACTAAACAAAGTAAGGCTGCAAGGAAGGGCAGAGAGCAGGGCACCTCTTTGGCTCCTTAGAGAGAGTAAGGGATGCAATTTGCTCTTAGACACATCCCCTAAGACATGTGGTTGACTGTCTAGGGAGTCAATGTCCCCCTATCCAAATCTGGGTCAACTATTTGAGGTCCCTTGCCATCTCTCTAGCCAACCAAGAAAAAAGAACGCAAGCTATTGATAGTTGGGAAACTGCAAACATGATATCAAAAACTTTTAACTTTTAGACACTCTACCCAGGATACCGAGGAGGTATGAAGTTTCCTCTCAGGCTCTCTGAGGAAGGCTTTATGAGTATAGAGGGTATTGCCATTGAAAGGGAAACTTCTAGGCTTAGTCTGCATCCTGAACTATATTGGGATTTCCCTCACAGTTATTTTATAAAGTGAAAGGCTCAAGCCCAAGGCTAAACTCTCTAGGCTCCAGCAAATGCAGAAATGTAAAGAGGCAGTAGTTTCACTTCCTGGATGGTTTGCTACAAAGGAGCTAAAGTTACCCGGGAGGCCGCATGGCATAGTAGTGTTAGAAACACAAGTTCTGGAGCCAGAGCCATCTGGTTTCAAATCCCAACTGTCATTTACCAATGGACAAGTGACTTACCCTCCTTGTGCCTATTTACCCATCTGTAAACTTGGGATAATAATAAATATTTACTTCTCAGAATCACTGTAGGTTTAACTGAGATAGAACAAGGAAACTAGGAGCACAGAACCAGGCATACTCTTTTTTTTTTTTTTTTTTTTTGTGGTATTCTTTTGTTTTTTGTCTTTTCTTTTGCAAGCACTTTGCTGCTAAGCTACATCCCAGCCCAAATATTCAGAATTAAGCTACTGTCTGCACTGGCCAAGTCTCCCTAACATTCCTGACCTCTTGGGAACATAAAAATTACAACAATAGGATAGCCCCCCACCCTGAACATCCACCTTTTCATTTAGCCCATCAACAGCATCAGAGACTCTAGTCTATCAGCATTCACAGACAACAGTGACATGTCTCCAAACAGAAAGCCCAAAGTCCTCCCTGGTGTTCTGAGGATGAAATCCTATTTTGTAGGATAAGGCCCTAGGTATTTTCTTTCCTTGCTGAAAATACATCAATGATTAGAGGCCTACAGTCCTTCCTCACTCCTAGCAAGGACTCTAAATAGCTAAYAGTTCCCATTTAGCATACACTACCTACCATCTGTGTACTCCTCCGATGTGAGGGATAAAAGGCTTTGTATGTCACTATTCTCAGAATCTGCCGCTTCTTTGTGTGCCAGTCGGCTGCTCCCTGAGCCTGCTGCCCAAGAAGAGGTGGTTGCCTGATGCACCATCACAGTCTCTGAGCCCCGGGAGCCCCAGGCTTCACATAGTCCAGACTGGCCTGGGGTCTCATCCTCTCCACCTGCAGAGGAGCAGGCCCCTTGGCCCAGCGGCTGTGGATCCCTTGGCACATTCCTCCCACTAGGCCCAGACCCTTCTGACAGCACAATTTGCACTCTGGGGTCAGCGGGTGGCATGCAATGACCGGAACTGCCGTACACAGCTTCCTCATATGAAGGCAGTGCGACCTGGACTCCATCCACCATAATGGAGACCTGGTCCCCAGATACTCCCTGGTCACGCCTGGATTGAAGGAGAAAAGAGAGAGAGAGAGAGAATCAGAACACCCAGATAAGTAAATAAATACCACAATACCAACAAAAACCTCAAATTTTGAGCATTTACTATGTACCAGACATAGCATTAGATGCTTTAGACATTTGGCAGGGGTAAGGTGTGGCTCAGTGGTAGAGCAGTTGCCTAGCATGTGTGAGGCCCTAGGCCCATTTCCACTACTGAACACCCCCCCCCAAAAAAAAAAAAAACCCACTTTACCACACTGGATCCTCACTTAAGCTCTCAGGTAGTGGTCCACCAAGAATGCGGAAGAGGGCTGGGGATGTGGCTTAGTCATAAGCGCTTGCTCAGTGCGCACAGACGAGGCTCAGAAGTTAAGAATCTTGCCCAACAGTCAGAGAGAGACCTGAGACTTGAATCTAGTTTCACCCACTTTCAGAGATTGTGTTCTTAACCTGTGGGTACACAGGCACCCAGACTTTTGTGCAAAAGCCAAGAGCCTAGAGACCTAGGAATAGAGCCAGCACAGCTAGGGTAAGAAAATAACAGAGTGATGGTGGCACATGTTGTAAAATACTAAAAACCATTTCCTTGTACACTTTAAAAAGGTATGTTGTATGGGATATAAATTATATCTTCATAAAGCTGTTAGAAAGAGGAATGGGAAGCGGGGAAGGATGGGGTTGGGGGAGAAAGGAGGAGAAAAAGGAAGAGGAAGCACTATAGTCTTGAAATGAAAAACCAGCCTGGAAATCAGAAGAACAATCTTCTGACTCAATCACTCCCCACTCCTATTCTTTTTTTTTTTTTAACTTTACAAACTTCACAAAACTTACCGGCTTGCTCCAAAAATGCACATCCCTCCCTTGGTGGGAAGAGAGCTCTGCCATACTCTAGACAAAGTCATGCCTGCCCCAGCTGCTCCTGTTCTTCACCACCACAATAACCACTATCCCAACTTGCTTGGAAATCACTCCTTTGCTTTCTATTTTAATAGTTTTATTTGTTTAAATATGAACCTTTTATTATGAATCTTTCAGCACTAGTTATGCACATTTTTGCTCTTATATGAATGGGATACAGGGTGAATTTATGTGCTAGATATGTCTCTGATTTCTTTAACTCAATTTATTCAGACACTTTTGTCATACACATACACATATGTTGTTTTGGAACCATCTGAAAGTAAGGCACATTATGTAGCATGTACCTCCTAAGCACCATTTCTCCTATGCAACTGCTGCAACAGCATATGCCAGAAATTTAACATCAGTATAACGCTGTAATAAAGATTCCCCAGACTAGCCAAAAATACATCCATTTCAGCTGCAGTCCCTTTTGTTTTCGTTCAGGACCCAATTAAGGATTATGCACTCCATTTAGCAGCCCTGTTCCTTTCATCTCCATTAATTTAGAATAGTCCATTATAGTTTTTCTTTTATGGAATTGATATCTTTTGAAGAATACAGGCCAGCTGTCTTGTGGGATGTCCCATAATCTGGATGTATCTAACCATTTCTTCAAGATTGGATTCAGGCCAGTTTTTGCCAAGTTKTGCCACACAGGTGAGGCTCTGTCTCCTCAGTTCATCACACTACAATCTGCTGATTGACCAAACTAGTGTTGCTTCACTGTTGTTAGTAGCTCTCAAGTTTCTTACATCAAATTGCAGATAAAATCCATGCTAATTCAAATAATGCACACCCTTAGAATTGAGAGAAGTGGCATCCTTAACAGTACTCAGAGGTTTTGGAAGGAAGAGAAACTTTGATGRCAAGGTGGCATAGAAAGCAGCGTGCATACTGGTGTGTGCTTGTCATTTGCTATTCTAAATAAATTTTTGTGGTTTAAAAAGAAATACGTATACAGTAAAAAGTTTAAATGGGGTCCATAATGAAAATCAAATCTCCTGACTCAGGTCAGGAAAAAAAATGGGTGGTTATTTTAATAAGCTTAGTGGTTAAATATAGAGAAAAGAAAATTCCTTAACCTAAATGAAATGCATGCTAGATCAGTGTGACTTCAAGTGGAAATAGCTGATTCATTCAAGAAACAGTTCCCTTAAAATCCCCTATTCTATCTGGGTGTGGTGGCACATGCCTGTAATCCAGCAGCTTGGGAGGCTGAGACAGGAGGATCATGAGTTCGAATAGAGGTGCTAAACAACTCAGTGAGACCCTGTCTCTAAATAAAATACAAAAAAACACAGGGCTGGGGATGTGGCTCAGTGGTTGAGTGCCCCTGAGTTCAATCCCCAGTACAAAAAACAAACAAACCAACAAAAAAACAACTTTTAAAAATAACTGCTACCCCTCCCTCCAAAGCAAAATAAAAAGAAGAAAGAAAAATCACATGCAGGACACAGAAACTAAATTTAACCAGATTGTTATCTGCAAGTTCCAAACCTAGAGTATTTCATAGACTGTGGTTTAGCTTGGCTCTTCTTGTCAGTGCATATGACAGTGACTGATGCAGTACTGAATGAACCTAAAAGATGTATTCAAGAGGCAGTGAGGCATCTACAGGGGGTGACGAGCAACCTGGAGAGCTGCGACAGCCCATGGGGGAAAGTCTGCCATCAGGGATACATACATCAGGGCCCCACCACTGGCTGCCCCCAACACCAATCACCTCCCCSATTCAGTTTGGCACGGATTATAGATAATGTACTATACTAGAAAAAGGAAAATGATGGAGGCAGACAAGAAACCTACTTGCTTGGTCTCTTACATAGTGCAATGCAGTGGTTCTCAAACCACAATAAAACTACTGAGAAGCTTTCTGTACATCAGGGTCCCATGCTAAACCAAATAAATCAGAATGTTTAGCAAGAGAGGTTTAGATACACCCAGGAGTAAAAGCCAAGAGTACAGAAAGGAGTAGCTGGCAAACATGGGTGTGCATCACTATCATCTGGAGGGCTTGGAAACCCCATCCCTGGGCCTTAGCGTCAGAGTGTCTCATTCAGTCAGTCTGGAGTGGGGCATGGAAATATGCATTYCTAACAACCCCGTGATGATATTTCTGGAACCACACTCTGAGAGCTACTGAGGACAGGGAAACAACATGGCTTTGGAGCAGAACAGATTTAGGACCAACCTCAGCTTTGCTCTCATCTAAAGGGTATGACCTTGAAGGAACAACTCAATCTCTCTGAGCCTCAGTTTCTTCCCTCAACTGCAATGTTCCTAGAGGATTGAGATAATATATGCAAAGTATCAAGCACAATGCCAGGCAAACCGGGGCCCTCCCCATCCATTTTCCTAGGACACACAGACCTGGTAAACCACAGCCTCCCAAGGCCAGTTAAGGCTAGCACCCATGGTGATGCTTGCTAYCTGCCCCAAAGCAGCACCAGAGGTGCTGGGCTCACCTGCTGTGATGGAAAGACTTCAGCTTTGGCTGCAGCAGCACAAACAGCACCACGAGGAGGAGAATGAGCGCCACGGAGCTGGCAGTGGAAGCCACTATAGATAGTGTGGGAACCCCAAGTGATGTGTGGGTTTCTTTATCTATGAAAACAAGCCATTGTCAGAATAATTYTGTAGCCAGACACATAAAACATGAGCCCCAAAGCTGATAGTCAAATGTCACCTGCAGAAAGTCATACAGAGTCATCCAGTGGCTGCACCTTTTCAAAAGGACAATGTGGATGGCCTATGTATGTATGGTGCTCCTGGAAAGGAAACATTTCCTTCTGTTTTCTGAATAATAAATTTCCCTCACTTCTAGCCTTTTCAATACATATGATGCTAAGTTCACTTAACCCTGGAGATCTTACTTTTATAAACCACTCTGATCTTGCCTTCAGTAGTAGGTTGATGAACACCAACCATTAAAATGGGCATATTGTTCCAACTTATTGAGTCACCCATGTTCCCCTCCATGGCAGGGTAATTTAGAACTGAGCTGTAATAAGCCTCTACCATGAGGTCCCACAGCTCTGGCTCTAAATATCAGGCTGGTGCCCCCTCTTCTCTGGATTGTCATGGGCCCCATGTGTTCTGGTCTAGAAGCCCATGTATAAAACACAAAGACGGCCATATGACACTCACTTCTCTTCAGGTGGCTGAATTTTCCTGTCATGCAAGAGAGAAGGAGGCAGGAGAAGAGAGGGGGCATCCATCTAGCTGGACTATAGCTCCATAACAAAACAGTTCATTTCCATTCAAGGAAAAATGAGAGCCACTGGAGAAGTGTTAGCGTTGCGCTCACTGTGCTAGCAGAACATGGTCAAAGGTCACCAGCACTTGGTTAGGCAAACAAAAGATCCTAAACATCAAAGGAGCTTTACATAGCAGGGTAGATGCCTTGGTAAAGATAGGGAGCCCACTGGTGACTCAGTGGAATCTAATGGGACATGTACCAGCAACCCCAATGTTTTCCACAAAGACATGAAATCCCAAAGGAAGGGAAGCTGCAGGGCATCAAGCAGAGCTGTGCTGCAGCACAGCCAAAGGCTCTCTGAAGGCAGAAGGTGCCACTTCCCAGGAGCTGAAAGAAAACAGAGGCCCAGAATACCCCCTTCTCCTCTGCAGACTGACCCTCGTTGAGGTGGCAGCTAATCTCCATGGCCGGCTTCCACTCGCCATTCTTACACGTCAGGTATTTGTAGTCACCCTTCAACATGTAGCCTTCTGCACAGAGGTACTCGATGACACTGCCTGCTGTCAAGGGGTCTCTGCAGGGCCGGGGGTGGCATATGTAGCCACCATTCTCTGGCTCCGGGGGCAGGGGACACACTGCAAAGACAGAGAGAGCAGTGAAGCTTTCAGTGGGTGTCTCCACTTGATGACACAGCTCTGAGGGCCTCAACAGGAACCCTGGAATTTAGGTCACCACTGACAGGGAAGTCTGTCTGTTCGCAACATTTCCCTCTCCCTCCCATTGTCTTCAGGGAACTGTATCCATAACTCCACAGGAGATACTGCTTTTTTTTTTTTTTTTTTTTTGGTACTAGGTATTGAACCCAGATGGTGCTTTACCACTGAGTTACATCCCCAATCCTTGTAATTCTTTATTCTGAGACAAGGTCTCAGAAAGTTTCTGTGGCTGACTTCAAACTTACCAGCCTCTTTGGTGGTTGGGATTACAGGTCTGAACCACCCTGTCTGGCTCCAATCCTTTTTATTTTTTGTCTCACTATATTGCCCAGGCTAGCCTCAAAACTGAGGCCCTCCTGCCTCATTCTCCCAAGATGCTGGGATTACAGGTACGTGCCACAACTCTCAGTTTGAAACATGGTTCTGACTCAGAGTGAGAGGAGATTCAATACTGTTAGCCCACGGGGGCAACGTTAGCCTTGTTTCTGACATCAATGTTAGAAAGAACTTGGAGGAATAAGAAGAATGCTCTGGCTTCTGAGGGAATTTCTGGTGAATTTCTTGGGAGGCTTCCCAAGCCCTGTGTATCTTCCATGCTCTGGTATCGCTTGTCTCTATCCCACAGTTATGTCCCATATTTTTCTGTCCACACAACAATCTAGTTTTAAAAGCACCTTCACCTCCTGTCTTATTTGTTTAGCCTCACATCTGTAGTAGATATCATTTCTCTGCTTTGAAGATAAGAACAATAAGGCCCACAAAAATGAAGTGACTTTTAGCCAAACTCAAGGCAGGGTGAAGGCAGACTTGGGAGCAGAGTYAGGTCCTCTGATTCTGAACCTGAGTTCTTTCCACCAGCAGATCCTACTCTTGACCCAGGAGCAGAGTAGCTTGAAAGGGGTGTATGTGTCAAGGTCACCTCCCTTTCATCCCTTCAAACTTGTCAGTTAAGGAGATGGCAAGTGGAGCCTACCTGTGGTGGTACCCTGGCCTAGATAAGCTGTAGAAATAACTTAAGAGGACCTAGAAGGTCTGAGTAGCCTACAGGAAGAAGAGGGTGACCTCTCATTCTCCCAGTGACAGACTGCAAAACTGAAGCTCCACAYAGTACATTGGACACTAGGGCCAACAAAATGAGAGGGGCCCAATGAGGACACTAAGAGATCAATGTTTGGAAGGGTGTGCTGTGGGAAGGCAGGATGGCCAGGTACCCATGAACTTCAACTTTCCAAACATCTTAAAATGCAAGATTGACTGAGCTTCTTCCAAAGGAAATTCAATTTTACTGACCATAACCCACCCCAATCCTGAATATCATAGACATCTATCTGTATGAGAACTGTAATGGTCATTCTCTCTTTTTTTTTTACTTCCTCTAACAGGCCCAGAGTGTCTGGGAGTCACCTGGCAGTGTCTGACTATCCAAGACTAGGTGCAGGCTTGCTCCCATCCCCAAACTCCTTATAGCCTCTCCCAGTACCACCTTTCTCTAGTCCAGAATGTTATTAGCAGGCTGACTGCCAAATGGGTTGGAGGTAGATTCCAGGTACAAAGAGAGGTGACAGTTTTCTGCTTCAAGCTTCAAATCATTGGTCTGTATTGCTTTTGTTTTTGGTACTAGGGATTGAACCCAAGGGCTCTTAAACACATCCCCAGCCCTTTTTTATATTTTATTTACAGACAGGGTCTCCCTAAATTTTTGAGACTGGCTTTGAACCTGCAATCTTCCTGCCTCAGCCTCTCAAGCCACTGGACAGGTGTGTGCSACTGCAACTGGCTAAAGCTACATATAATTGAAGATGAGGAGCAAAGGCCATTTTTTCTTTTCTTTTACTTACTCATTCTTGGTAGTGCAGGGGAATTGAACCCAGGACCTTGTATGTGATATTCTGCATACACTCTACTACTAAGTTGTCCACCCAGACCTACTATTTTCAAAAAGCTGTTAACAAACAGAGCTAGCACAGATGCCAAAGGATCCAGAAGTCTGGCAGTTGCTCTGAAATTAAGAGATGAGCCCAAATAAGCTACTCAGATCCCTTAAAAAACATACCTCTGATCTCCCCATGGTATACCTGGCCCAGAGTCCTRACAGGAGAGCCAAGTTGTTCAGAGAGCTAGTGGTCATGAACTGCTTCACCCCTTCACTTTCCCTCTTTTGATCAGGGCAGCAAGGCTGACACAGACCTCCCAGACTTACTCCCTGGCTGTCCTCAGATTGGGTCTAATTAGCTCATTTCCTGAGAGCAGCAAAGACTCAAAGACAGGGCCAGTATGCTGGGAAAGCGGTTCTCACCGGGAAGGGCCGCTTCTGTTCTGCTATGTGTTTCTGCCTATAAAACCCACAGAATCTTGAGTAGGACCCTGGAGGTCATCTAGCACTCATTTTAATAAGTGAAAAAAAGTGAGGTCTACAATGAAGCAACTTGCAATTCAATTTAGTTTTAATTCAGCTAATATTTATTGATTATTGCATAGGGATCAGTATGCTGTAGTTCTGAATAAGGGTAAAAAGCACTTCTGGCACTAGTAGCCAAATAGGGATATAACAGATATGCACACACATACATTTAAAAAATCATTTTCTTCATGGTTTCCGGGTTTCTCTTTGGTTTAGGGACACTTTCCCTACTCAGAGGTTATAAAACATACCCTCCAATGTTTTCTCGTAATGTTTTATAGATTGAGTTTTTGTTATTTAAATAATACTTTTACCAAAAACAATTCCTGGGGAAAATCCATACACATATGTAAATATATACTATATTAATATAAGATATTTAATATATTTAAATATATATTTATATATTTCATGGGAAGTATGTATAATATATATGTRTGTGTATATACATACATAGTATAAAATTCAAAAGAAAGGCTATATAGCCTAAAGCAAGCCCCTCGTCTGTGCCCTAGCTGTTCAGCTCTTCTCCCTAAAAGGCATCACACCGACTTTACTGCATCCTTCCAAAGATATTCTGCATACAGATTTATTCTGACACAAGTCAAAGAATGTGATTCATGTGCCAGAGAGGAAAAGCTGAGAGCAGGAGAGATTGCATCCCATGTGGGGAAACTCACAGTGGCTCTGGGAAGAAGTGGCACCTCAGACAGGCTTTCATTTCATCATGAAGAGAGGTGGCAGTTTGAAGTGGGAAAATGTGTGTTAAACCCTACATGAGGTGGACCACAGGCAGCAGAGTCTCTTTACAGTATAGCAACCTTATATACTAAATAAATTCAGTACGCAAACTTTTTATGTTTATCCATGAAGGTCACACAAAGAAAATATGCATGTCAGGGCCAGTGTCATAAGATGTTTGTTATCCCAGGTTCAAGGAAGAAGAAAAAAATTAGAAGGGTCAGAAATAAACAAGGACAAGGGCATTTTAAGACACCACAAGCACACATGGCTCTTTTGCCCAAAGAGCAGAGTGGGAGAGTCTAGCTGGAGTGGACCCCTTCAGTGATACCTGGGATTAACAGAAAAGGGAAAAACATCAAGGAAGAGCAAAACCCACACAGCAAATAAATCAGCGGCTTCAAGAAGCCACCACTATCCTGAGTCGGAGGCTAACAATCTGTATACTGGGTTCTCTCTGATGCTCGAGTCCACAGAAGGAATTCAAGTTCCTTGACCCCAATAGGACAATGAACTCATCTGATATGGCAATGCCCATAATTTTTAAAAGAGAGGGAGAAATCCAGGTATTAGAGAAAAGAAAAGGGAAAAGAAAAACAACAACAAAAACTTCTCCTCCTAGCTTCCTCTTTGCATTTCATTGTTCCCACAGGCACTTGGGCCCCCTGGGTGCATAGGGAGAGGGGAGACAATCCCTTAGGGTGCCTGGCGCACAACAGACATTCAGGGAGAGTCCATCCAGTCAACTGTGAAGATGCAGATGGGAGAGAAGCAAGATAACCTGGCCAGACTTCCACCTTAGAATCACCTCAGCCTAACACCCTTCTCACAGGCCTCATTTGCCCTTCTGTGTTGTGCTTTTGTTGTTTCAGGGCCCAGTCTTCCAGGAGGAAGAGGCAAAACAAAACAAACTTTTATAACATTCCATAACAAGCATAGTAAAACAAGCTCCAGGAAAGGCCCTGGGGTCAAAGTGTTAAATTTAACAAAGGAACAAATACTCCGGTGCCTTCAAAACAAGGTGTGGGGAGTATGCACTCCCAGAGCCTCTGAAAAATCTGATGTCTAGTGCATTTTCAGAAGACTCAACAAAAGAGTTTTCTAGACATCATCAAGAAAACACTAGAGTCCTAAACAGGAACTGAGGACTTCAGAAAATGAGTTGGGTCAAGTGTTCACTCACAGGTCTGAGATGCGTAGTTTTAGACAAAAGCGTGGGTATATTAGCATTTAGGACACAGGGGAGCACAGAGAAATAGGTGTTTCATGAAAATACTGAAAGAAAGGAGGGCCAGAGAAAAGCTTTCCTAAGAATTCATGGGAGAGTTCCTCCAAACCCTAACTCCCCAAACTGCAGATTTGTAAATGTCCCTGCTGGGTTTTAAATCCAGCAAACAAGAAAGAGTGGGTCTTGGGTTGGGGCTCAGGGGTAGGGCGTCCACCRTGCACGTGAGGCCCCTGGGTTCAATCCCCAGCACCATATAAAAATAAATAAAGATATTGTGTCCATCTACAACTAAAAAAAAGAAGAAAGAAAGAAAGAAGAGAAAAGAAAGATGGGTCTTCTCCACCCAAACCCTAGGAAGGCTGTACAGGTTAAGTGTAGCAGAACCACATACCCACCAAGAGCTTAAGATCTAAAGAGGAGACACACACACACACACACACACACACACACACACACACACACACACACACACTACTGCCAACTCTAAGGTAAATCAATGATTTGACATAAGTGCTTGAGTGTGAGCTTCTCTATTAGCCCAGGGTGTCC